AAACTCGCGTCTCGACTCAGTTTTTTTAAACGAGATAAATAATCCCATAATTTTGTGAAAAGGCAGCGATCGACACATCATCATTGTCTAATTGTATGGGCATGTTTTCGCAAATGTAAATGTAAAAAGATTAGCCCTATATCAAAGACCATCTTTGAAAAAAATGTGATAATTTGCATTCAGTTATACCCGACCTTACGTGAATATAAGGGTAGGTTTTCACAAAATATTGCGTAAAGCGACAACGACAGGAACCCGACCTTTAAATGTATGAATATGGGGTCGTGTTTTCACAAAAGGACTTGTTACCCGACAATCCGATCCGACGCGAATAGAACGAAGTAAGCCATAGACCAGTCACAATGATCACATCACCTGGCAACTGACACCACCGTTGGATTTTCTAAAGAACCCCGTCTACTTTTTGAGCCCTGGGGTAAAGTGGCTCATTCACTTGACTTTTAATCAGAAGGTGGAAGGTTCAAATCGGTTCTCGGTGCATATATACTTAGAAAGGGCATTTTATCAAACATTGCATCTCTCGACCCAGGCGTAGGAAACATGTACCTAGGGATATGGTCCTTGGAAGGCTCCTGGGGGGGCAATCAGTGCTATAACATCAGGGAAGATCAGAGACACTTTGAAAGCGCACAGAAGAGTTTTAAACTATCGTTCAAGGTAGTCATAAATGCATGTGTCTCCGCGACAGTTAGTGCTGCATGGCTTGAATGACTCTTAAGCTTGTTGCGTTAGTGCTGCATGGCTTGAATGACTCTTAAGCTTGTTGCAAACGAGGCGTCAATTGCCTGACGTAAGTCTGCGTCAACAAAAGGATTTCCCTTGACTTTGATACTTTGCCTAGTGGTATTGGTAAACGTAAGAACCCTACTTCACACGTGCATAAATTGTTTCGTATTTTGCCCAACAGCTGGTAAAGATTTTCCCAACAAGTGGGCTACCGTAGTCGAGCAGTTGAAGGGTCATTTGTTTGCCCAAATTTGGCCAAAATACGAAACAATCATGCATGTGTGAAGTAGGGTACTTACGTTTACCAATGCCACTGGGCAAAATATTGCCCAATAAATGGTCTGGTTGACCATTGTCACAACGTTGGGCAAAGTGTTGGAAAAAATTGCCCAACCTTTGCAGATTGTATGTTTCAATAACACTTTCAAGATGGTGTGTAAATCCTTATGTATCTCATCTCTTACCAGTCAATTTGTTCTCCATCCCCCTCTCTCTCTTTGTGATTTGCGTGGATAATAGTGATCAAGTATGGCATTTACCACGCGAAACAGTTTGAGAAATTTGAACTAATTAGGTTTTTTTTCAATGGGCATGGTTTATGCGTTATTCCGTTTAATATGTGCCAAGACCTGACTTGCCTGTGGAACTTGTCAGAAATAATTGCGGTCATGACGACAAATCTAAATTTTACTGAGAACGTTATTCTATGCAAAGTATATAAGAGATCAATTAATTTTAAACTATGCAGTTTTAGGAACGGGAATTAGAGAGGATTTGAGCGTATGGAATCTAGATAATGAATTCATCATCAATACATTTGCAGATTATTTCATTCTTTAAATTGTAAACGTAAAACAAAACATCTATTTTTGTTAACATTTGAATTGCGTGGACAGATAATGTTGTACGTCACTCAATAAGGGTTCACTACACACGTTATCCCTGGAATGTCCGTTTAAATCACACCCATTTGGAAATCAAAAAGCCACTAATATTCAAGGAAGCATATAATCGGAGCGCTATTCAGAATAAGTTTCTCTCTCTGTTTGTGATTTGATATGAGATGTAGACTTCATATCCAGCTTTAAGTGGAGTGTATCATAAGAGATAACGCATAATAAAGCGAAATAGTCAATAATCCTCACCAATGGTAACACGTAACGACAGGTTCAACCGTAGTATTCTTGGCTTAATCACAGCCCATTCAGCTAATCATGAATAACCCTATACTTGCGTCATCAGGTGATATAAGCACACACCCCCTCCAACCCTAGAAATGAATGGCGTTCCCAATAGCGTCGCCTACATTTGTGTGATTAGCAGAAATGATTGCAAGCCATTCCTGCATCCCACGCTGAGTGATCTGGGGAAGGTTTTGCAAATGAACAAGTTATCAATTGGGGAGTAAACGTAAGCAAATTGCCAAATAATTAGATAGATTACGCATTGTATCACCAGGCTATTCGATCTTAATCTCGAGTTAATGTCAAGGTTTGAAACATAAAAAGGTGGAAAATGGAAATGAAAAATCGCTAATCTCATATCCAACTCTCGTCATGATCTCCTGGACAAACAAACACCAAGGTCATTCACTCTAATTTCCGACAAAAGAATAGCATCGAATAGTTTAAATTTTGAAATAATTAGAATAAGTTGCAATGATTATGAACGGACCTTCTACGAGTCCCCCCACTTTGCCATCGCTTTCATCTTCCAGTCTTCAATATAGCCGACCAAAACATACCATCAAGTGAATCCATCTATAGCTAGCTTGTTTTCCTCTAGCAATGAGTAAAATGATCAATAATTCTTCCCCCACATACTGAGAAATTATAACAATATCATGTTCATAACATATTAAAATGGTGCCATATTATTATTGCTGATATATTATCAATTTCAATACAATTATCTTTTCATTCAGCTATTTATTCATTTATAATTTGTTTATTTATTTGTTAATTCAGTAAATACTGTTTTCCACATGGAGATGCATCTTTATCAGTCTAATAAAGTGGTTTTAATAATAGGGATCCTCTCACATTACAGACAAAATGATAACAAAACAGATCTAATAAAAAAAACTGATATAAACAGATCGACACAGTTTCGGTATCGATATCTGTGTGTAAAAAAAAGTGTTATGCCTTCTAGAACAAAATAGCACACCCCATTGCATCTAGTAAGTAGTAGAGAATGCAGCGAGTAAAAGATAGAAATAAACCCTAGCTCAATTTACATGTACATGGGCTCTTTAAATTGGTGAATGATCAAAGCAGTTGCATCAAGGCCTATCACAATTTCTGGTTGTTCTTGGTTAATCTCGCTATGCATTTTCAATCGCGCAATGATATTGAACTTCAGAGTCTGGTTATATCGGGTAAAGGAGGTGCAATCGTGTAATCGTCCATGACCTATCATCGTTTATCCATTCATGAATGAACCTGCATTCAATCAGCAGATGTATGAGATTTATTGTATAATTACCAACGTTCCTTCTCTCTCCTTTCCTGTTCTTCTCTGCAAGTCACACTCTTTTTTATTTATATTTTTTATTGTTGTATCTAAGTTGAGGGCTGCGGGCACGTCAAGCTACTCTGCTTATTTGTGTAGCCCTCCTGCATCTAATGTATGTTAATTATGCATTCAATATATTTGTTTAGTCTCGTTTATTATCTGTATAAAATTATATACACTTAAAATATTGTATCAAACCATTATTATGTTCATGAAAATGTATGATGAAAAGAAGAAAAAAAGATGCAGAAACCAATAAATCAAATCAAATCAAATCAAATCAAATCAAATCAATCCATTCTCCTCTTAGTTCTCGAGGGAAAAAAAAGATTGCATGGAAACCATACAGACATGTAATGAGTATAAATCTACCACCGCAAAACAATTCCAGGTGAGAAGATTCGCAACTTGCAATATCCTTCTTCCTCACCGTCTACATCCTAATTCAGTGTAAAGATATCATGAATATGAAATTGTCAACTAGGTAAGTTTTGTTAACAAAATATCGAGAAGAACATAATTAGGGGCGCCCATATTCTTTTTTTTTGTTTTTGTTACTTTTCTTTCATTTTCAAGGTTTGCACGAGAGTGGTAAAATGGGCACGGCCGGTTGTTTCCTTCTCGTCTATCCACCGGTGATAGATAATACCATATTTTGAAAACCAGTAGTTTCAATTTGCTTATCCAGTGGTGCATTTGGATGAATGTCAGACGGACAAAGGGCGTCGCAAATCATTATCAACTATTAATACCCCTGCAAGTTTGGCTAACTCATCCACGCTGCAACACGCTGTCTTTGTTTCTCTTCGGCTCGGGAATAAATCTGACGGCTGCAGCGGATTGCAAGGCATTTCAGCTGTTGAATCTGGCGGTGATCCGCCCAAAATTGCTTGAACATATTCATCGCCTAATATTTTAATACCCCGGCCCGCACATGCACGACATTGGTTTAATACCATCACCAGGGCAGTAATAATATCCCTCAGCATATTTGTACCTCTGATGAAATAGCCTGCACATAGAATGTTGGCGCATTCTTCTCCAGAATGCTGACGACATCTTGCAAACAGCTAGCACACTTGGAAGAAAAGAAGTCATGTTACACGGTGATGTACTTTTGACTTTCGGGTTTGCTTTTTGGCGCCTCATTGCTCTGTCGTCTGTTTGAGGTCATTTCATGTTTTCTGCGATGTTCATCGTTATGCTGTCAGATGGAACGTGAGGAAGTACTCTTTGACTGGCTTGGTGTTTGCCTAGATGGCTAGATTATATCCTTTAATCTTCATGCTCAAGTTATCTTTGCTGATTTAACTGTAATATGACTGCCTTTGCAATTTCGAGGAAAAAAAAAGACCCAAGATAACGCTAAGTACGGAAAGCCAACATGTTATACACATTACGGCGTAGGTTTTAATTCCAGCTGGCATAATTAGAACATGAGAGTATGAAATTAAAAATGATAAAGATTGAAGAATGTAAGACGACTGTATTGCAAAATATTCATACTCTATTTAATACTTTAAGACTGCTTTTTTTCACCGTGAAATATTTTCAATTTCAAATGACAACGCATAACGTAAACAAAAATATTTTCCTTCAATTGTGAATTTTTGAATTGTTAATGTTATGCTCAAATCTGATTCATAAATCAAACAAATTATTTCTTTATATCCTGGCTTTGTAATTGTCGAAGATCGACCTCTAATTATCAAACCCTTTTCCCGCTTTTATTTGCAGGTAAAAACTCGCTTTATTTGCTCGCCAGAAGAAAGAGAATCATAGATGAGCGACTAGGAGAACTAACGCAGATCTTTACGTGTGGGACTTAGCAAGAGGACTTAGCAAGAGGGCCGGCCTGGTCATGAAGGGAACTGTGGGATTATATATGTGGGCATGCATTCTGGGATACGTCACATGGGGTGGAGCTGCACTACCAACCATCCTGGGAAAAGAACTCGTCCTTAGTGAGAACGATGGGCCAGGTATATTTCCAATCACATTTTCCAATAGACTTTTTTTTAGGCCTACCAATGTATTTCAATTAATGTATGTTCATACCTGTTGGAGTCAATTTCTTTTATCTCTTTCTATGAAAAGATTGTGACAATATGATTTATTGTTGATAGATATAGTTTACATCTTCTCAGAACTTTATTCATGAATCTAAAGAGCAATAGAGATTGACCTATACAAGCTTCTGAGGAAAGAAATACTTTTGTTATCATGAAAAAAATCATATTGTCATAATCATAAAGAGGTAAGATAAATTTATTCCAACTGTATATAGGCAACAGTGTAGCATGCGCAATTACATCTCTTTGGATGCTTATGTTGTTGCTATGTCTGGTTTTCCTCTATAGCAAGCTATTGTTCAAGGAGCTTGCATTGAGTTTAGTTAACATGTATATTTTAGCACCAGGCTCATGACTTCAAAAACAATTTAGATAAATCTAAAACACTTTGAGACTCAACTTTGACATTCTCCACCACTACATATAAATCAATAGTGCAAAGGATGTCATAGTGTAATGAAAATGAATGATCCTCTACAAATTCGTCACAACCATTGGTGTTTCTTTCTTTTAAACGTATATCATTATACTTGAACTGTTAGAAGAACATTGTCAATCGAAAAAGAAACAATGTTTAGTGGAATGGTAAACATGAAAAATAAAAATTGTCACATTCTATCTCATTTGCTATACTGATCCATACATGATTAAACAATGTACTTTAAAATTACCAAAACGGGTGTATATATCGGGGGACAGCTCGAGGGCGTAACATTTACATGTCAAATTGCATGGTTCTACAAGAATTGTTTTCGATAAGGAATACGCCCAAATAGCGCGTTTGACTATGTACAATCATTTGAATTTTCAAACAGCTTTATATACATGTCGAGACCAAAGCATTCGCTTCGACATTTTCATGATTTCATGAATTCGTGAATGTTGGAATTTGCATCGTCTATTTTTCATTTTCACATCGTGAAATCTCATTTTGGCCAGCAAACGGTTTCAATAAATAGTGCTTTCTCTGGCATTCCTCCTGTCAACCTCGCCGATACATAATTGCAAGTTCATCAATAGAAATGTCACGATACAATCTCAAGGTCTCCCTCATTATTGCCGGCAGTCGTGTGTACCCTCGATTTAGGAGTTGATTGGTGCAATTACATACATTTCAAAAGTGACACATTTGATTAAAGTAAATTAGGTGTGAAAATGGTTTCGTCCGTGATTTTCATCATCTCAAACAATAATTATCGAGCTGGTGAGCGTATATTCATTCATTGTCAATGAAGCACCGTCACTAGGAACTTAACTAAACATAAGTATGATTATTGCTGTGTGACGAGACCTAGGATTTGTACCTTAAAGGGGACGTTTCGGCTTTCCAACATTGGTGAATATCGAAATGATGATAATGAGATTTAAATCATTCTTAAAATTAGAGGATGCTTTTATCATGAACATTTCGAAATTGGTCTCGCCATGGTTCTTGGACGAATATAATGTTATGTAATTCCTGGAATCAACTTGTAGGTAGACTAAACATATACACAACGTCCTTGTTGTGTTCGCAAAACGTCCCAGTAGCGTTGAAACATTTGTAGAACGTCTTGTGTCTCCTTGTATCAAATTAGTATTAACTACGATGACGCTACGTTCGTTGGCTTTCCGCAAGAAGTTCGTTAAAGGTACGCATTGTCAACGAACTTCTTTCGGGTAGCCGACGAATGCTTGATCAATTAATATCTTATTTTAAACTCATATATTTTGTTTGTCCAATATGCAGAGATAGCTGACTGGGTGCAAGGAAAGGAAATCCCTTTGAGGAATCAATATTGGGGCGATGTAGCGGAGGAAGAGGAGGAAGAAGAACTTGGCATGTTGTCCCCTGATTCAGAGAAACGCCAGTACCCAGGTGGTAAAAGACAGTATCCAGGAGGCAAGCGTCAGTATCCAGGAGGGAAACGTCAATACCCCGGCGGCAAGCGTCAGTTTCCGGCTGGCAAAAGGCAGTTCGTCGGAGGTGAACTTATACCATCGCCTGAGCTACGTCAATGGCCCGGTGGAAAGCGTCAATGGCCCGGTGGAAAGCGTCAATGGCCCGGTGGTAAGCGTCAATATCCCGGTGGAAAGCGTCAATATCCAGGTGGTAAGCGCCAATGGCCCGAAGTTAAGAGGCAATACCCTGGTGGCAAACGGTCGGAAGACGATCAAGATCTCCTGCCCATGGAAATCCGACAATACCCTGGCGGTAAACGCCAATGGCCCGGTGGTAAACGACAGTATCCCGGAGGGAAGAGGCAATACCCTGGAGGGAAACGGCAATTTCCTGGTGGAAAGCGGCAGTTCGTCGGTGGGGAAGCACTCGAACAAGAATCGAACATCAACAAGCGATTCGCCCCTGAAGACGACACCATGGACTTCTTTAGGCTATCCCAGTTATATGACACGAACGATAATATAGTCGCAGATGAAGGAGAATTAGCTCTAGAGGATCTCCTGGATGACATCATGGTTGACACGAGGCCAGAGTTTGAAGACCCAAGGGACTTGTTACTAGGCAATGTTGACCAAGAAGATGTTCTTGCTTTAGATTTATCGGCTTTACTTGGAGATAGAAACCCAAACAACGGGTGGTAACATCACCGATCACAAGGAACCCGCTTTTGCTTCATTGTCGTTCTTTTAACAGAATATTTTCGAAAAAGATATCATGAGAAAAAAAATTACACTTTAGACAGAATCAATTACAGGCTAGCTGTTAAAAAAAAAATGTAAAAATCGTTTATCATCATAAAGCCTTTTCTGCAGATGCTGTGCTATTAAACGATTTTAGAGAGAAACAAAAAGATGAAAAAGTTATATTTGTACACATCAACGTTTGTGCTTGGTTCTCGTTCCCTGTAGTTAGAGTATAGGTTAAATATCCAATCCTTCGGGTGAAGACATTAATGGTACAGAAAGAGATAGGGTTCGTCATCCTTCCTCGAGTAATGGGAGAGAATTGAAAATTGTGTATCGAAAAGTATTCAATTACATGGCCATTTTCTAATAGAAGATCGCGATGTTTGGAATATTATTTAATTCTATATTTTTTGTTATTTCTATTTTATTATAGTTTTGCGGAGACGTTTTGCCCTATGCTGGGATCGATTTTGTATTTCCGTATAATTGGTTGAAATAAGCCTAAAGGAGAGAAAGAATCCATTTTCCTGCTACAATTGAAAAGGGGTCGTGAGATGAAATTGTTGTTTTAATCGAAAATATAAGGTTCTGGTACGGTAATGGAGGGAGAAGCTCCCCATTCCTGTTTCTTTTTCTTCATATCGTGGTACAGATATCCAATTGTAAATATAAATAGAAAGCATTGTTTATATGTTGTGTTAGTTATCATCATAAATAGTGTAAAGATACTTTTAAGACTTTATATCGTTTTTGTCTTTCGAACATTGTCGAAAGATTCTCGTGTGTATTCTTCATGAATAATCGGAGATGATTAAACAAACAAAAAACATTTCTGCCCTATAAGAACTAGAATCCGTCCTATCAGTCTAATTGTTCCATTTTCTGTCGATTAAAAGAATGTTATTCTTTGTCAACCTTGCCGTGATTATGATATTCTTAATTTCATTTCTATCTTGTCTCTGTTCCTCATCCCATCCATTTGATTTAATGTATAGTGAAGAGGGTCTTAATCATGTTAATAATGACCTATTTCTGGCAATGGACAAAGCGTATAAATCATTCATGGATCAACAGTAAAAAATACGTGATAATTTCGTTAGTACAGCATCTTTGATAACATCACTTAAAAGTTAGCTTTCCACACGTCAAATTAAAAGTCCAAAGACTATTTAAACCAAAGGTCCGACCAACGGAGCAGTTTAGGTAGCCTCACTAAATAAATGAATAAAAGAATAACCGAGAATCATTTTTGACGGGGTGATCAGAGTTAGATCACAATCTCTGCGTTAATGTTCATACATTTTCCTCTTGCATAACTTGTTAAGTTTATGCCCGTTGAATGACGTATGACTGCGTGGGTTATTTCGTTGGTCTTTGATGCACCATTATGAGAGTGCTATGGTATACAAGGTGATGCAAAATCAACAATGTAAACAGAGCTTTTAATTACTGCCGCATGTACTATTGACCTTCACAAACTTGATTAGCGTATGTAATAATACAAACCAAATGGCGCTTCGTGTGGTATTCTTCGGGTACTTTTGTGTGATAAGGGTTGAAAACTCTGTACGTCATAATGATTACGTAACAATAATAATGAATCTACTCGTGGAGAAAACGCGCCATATTCCAAATCAAGAGGATTTTGGTAGTAGCATGAAAAGTAAACTGAAGATGACATATCATCAAAATGTATCCTTCAAACTTGCAAGTTAACAATTTATCATTCTATTCAATTCTGTTCTTTGCATGAAATATAAAAAACATCTGACGAAATATTTTGTTTTTGATCAGTCCTCATAATGCATTTAAGAAAAAAGATGGTAAAACTATATCTTGCACGTGGTTCTAACTATGTCACGCGCATTTAAATGTTATAATAATACCCCGAGTCGAAATAATTCATCAGATCAGATGGCCTTTATTTATGTTGAAATCATTTCGTGAAGACAGTATCAGACTACGACAACATACACTTTGATCCAAGAAATAAGTGTTTTATTGTCAACCAAAACAGCGTGTGGGTAATGTTGCCAATGAATGAAACGAAAGTGCGTTTGAAGATTTTTGTTCTTTCTGTGTTTGAACTCAATATCTTCTAGTCAGCTTTAAAATGCCTAAAATCATTACATATCACGATGAAATTAAAAGAAAAAGACTTCTAGGCAGTCGATAGCACTTGAAAGCGATTGATCAGAATTAATATATATTTCCTAAATCAATCAACTTCTTCATTTAAATATTTTGACTTATAATATTCATTTCATATAGGCCTACTGTAAAAGTTGAGATAGTTGAATGATAAAATATACTAAATAGCAATTAATTACGTCATGAGTTAAAATTGCGATTGTGTCATATTTAAACTCTAACCTCTATCAAGAACATCAGCAATGGCGTATCATAACGTGTTGTTTAGTAATAAAGGCAAAAAAGGAAAGTAAATCCAATAAAAGAACAAACAATTAGAAATTGAATGAATGTGACATTCCTTTATTCTTAATTGTCATTTGAGTAGGAACGATTTTGTTCGTGCAAAAGTCTGTTGCACAAAATAATGAATTGAGACCGTCGTTAGTCTCCTGATGCTAAGTGAAACCTTTGAAGAGTAAGATATCTTTCAACTTGAATCAATGTTATCTAATGGACCACAAATTCACTTTTTGCTAGAGTGCTCTTTTTCTGGGGCCGAATGACAATTAACTTGTTTTCTGATGCGGGATGGGATTTTAATGTGTCATATTGTGGTATCATGTACTACAAAGTGATCAATCTTCCATTTTAAAAGAAGAGTGTTTTCTCTATGATGATATCAATAAACAACATGACCAAACATAATATTATCGGCAGTGTATGAAAAGTGTGTAAATTGGCCCTTGTATCTATGGTGTCCATTCAATCAATCATTCACTAAATAAAAGTATCATTTTGGATTCTGCGAGACAGTGTAATGTAACGTTTGTCTCTCTCACATATTGGATGTCCTAAAAAGATATATACACAATTGATTGTATTTATCAGAGGAAAATGAACAGTTACAGAGAGGGGAGTGAGATAGATAGAGAGAGCAAGAGAGAGAGAGAGAGAGAGAGAGAAAGAGAGATAGGGAGAGAGAGAGAGAGAGAGAGAGAGAGAGAAAGAGAGATAGCCAGAGAGAGAGAGAGAGAGAGAGAGAGAGAGGTGATGTGAAGGGAAGAGCGATAAAAGAAAAAAATACAATATACATATCTTCTCAAAAGGTGAGATAAACACCGCGAGATGAAACTTGTGTTCACGAGATAGAGAGTTTGAGCGGGAGAGAGAGAGAGAGAGGGAGAGATGAAAAAATCAGGCAATTCACTTATTATTTCAACATTAAGATAATTAAAGCAAAGGACAATTTATATAATTTGACTTTCAGCGCAGATTACGAATATTAGGCATACAAAGCACCGTAATATCATATTCATAGAAATATATAGAAATAAATAGAATTGATTAATACACAGAATTCAGGAATCCTTAGTCTTGGACAATTTATTTCAGAACTCAAAGTATTCTCATTCAAATGTTCCGATTGAATTTCGAGAATAGAATAAATCAATCGAAAACTTTCTTAAATTGATCGCCTCTCCCCACTCCATTCCTGTTTAAATAAAGATATTAAAAAATGTAAACCGTACAAATTTATCGTGTATTCAGTGGTTTAATACATTTTTGGGGGAGTCTTTTAACTGGCGCAAAAAAAAAAGCGCAAGAAAACTTGATGACTTGAAAGGAATCAGGAAAAAGCTGGATGCTAGAGGATACTTCGTCATAACAAATGACACACTGCGGCTATGCTAGAAAGTGAATTAGATTACAACATCAATCTTATATTGTCAATCAACATACTAATTCTCCTCTTGTTAGAAGAAGAAAAATGGGTCTTTGAAATGGCTTGGGATTCAGGTTCAATTTTTTTTGGCGGCTTAATCGTTAAAATGTACATTAGATTAATATCAAAACTTTTTCAGACTTTTGTCATTTCAATTCGCTACCGCGGTTGGTTTGCTGGAGGATAATCATTCAGTAGATTAAGAAATGTCAGATAAATAAGAGCATCACATTTCAAATCTTAAAGCCAGTTTTAGTTTAGGTAGTGCTACTCCTGAAGAAGAAGAAAAAAAAACTCATTTCGGTTGATGGATGGCATGATACTAACAAAATACTAAGCTGCTGTGCCAATTTTTATTTGAAGAAAGAGTCGATTTGTGGTAAAGGTAATCTAAATTTTGTGATATTTTGTCAGTTCTTTTTATGTCAGATTACAGGAAGTCATAATAAATCAAGATGAAGTCAGTATCTTATCAATTTGAAGATTCTAAACCTAACAGTATACATTAATTTCTAGCTATTTACCTTTCCAACATGCTTCCAGTTTCTTTCACATCTTATTGCATGATCAGAGCTCAATCTCTTTTTTAAAGAAGATATTATATTAAACAGGTGGGAGGTAAACAAACACACAGAATATTGACAAGTAGACATGTTAAAAGGACAATTTTAACGGACTTTTTGTACAGTAGGACAATATCGGAGGACATATTCGTGAATTTGATGTTCTTTCAAATTATCTTTGATTTTCATTCCTTATTTATGTTTTTCTTTATTCTTGTTTATCTTACTTTCTTTCACTCACTTAAAAAATTAGGTTTAAACTGGGGGTTCAAATAACCTTTTGGAAACATAAATTAGATCTACAGTGGTCCAGATGATGATAAAATGCTGATCACCGTGACAAACCAGGGGTCGTATCCTCTTACTTCTGAGACTGAAACGGGGTTTTCCCCTTCACATCCATTTAAAGTGTGAGCCTGGAGCCATGTTGGCTAAACAGGTAATAAATCTCCACAAGACATGAAATATCATATTTTACAATTTGTCAGAGTGGAGGAAGATCTATGATGTTTTGATCCTGCTTTGAGGTTTTTTTTTTATAGTGTATCTGGAATTTTTCTGATGAGCTCATGCGGACCAAAGCTCCATGCCACAAATGAGCTTCATGTCACACTGTAGGATTTTGAAAATAGTTTATTTGCTTTATCAAAAATCAACCTTTTCGCGAAAAAATGTAAATGGCTCACACCGTTAACGAACAGAATAAGGGAAAGAACAACTAAAAATTAAAATGAATCATTGTTATACTGTTTGGAGCTGTAGAGGGCGCTATGTAGGTCAGAGAGTAGAGCCATACTCTCGAGAGTTTGGCCAACTGAAGTTGGTATCAACATGGTGAGTGTCCCTTTTAAAATATGAGAAATGCCCCCTCAACTTTAAAAATGATATTCTTTTGTTTTGTGTAAAAGCATTATTCGCCATATCGTGCCCAAGTTGAACCGCGTATCCACACGCTCCTAAAAAAGACTCTGTTAGAGAGCATATAACCACCTTTCAATTCAATTCCATTCAATCAATTCTACTTTATTCGTCCAAATTTAATGGAAAGTTAACTTGGGATTATGTTTGGTACAAGCCATGAAATGAGTATATAAACAACAAATGCAGTAATAATAAAAAAAAACGGGATCAATATAGACGAATATCCATGCAGAACTCGGAGGAAAAATTGCACACATCATTATTAATAACATTAAACATATTAAATGATGTGAGCCATGCACAACATTTGAAAATACCAAGAAAGAACAAAAGGAGACAGAGGTGATCGAAGTAGAAGAATAGTAGAGGTGAGGATAGAAGGAAATAAGTCAGAAAAAGAGAAAAGAAACAAGGAAAAGAGACCTGATGCGAAGTAAAGAACGGAGAAGTAAGAGAGAATGTCGTGTTTTTGCTCCTGATACTCGATAACCGGTTATATGTATTTATAACTTCATTCATATTCCACAACACTAAAAGTACAAATAAGTTAAAATTAATATAAAATCTCAAAAACGAACAAATGTTGCAAATTAAGATACAATCAACATACAAAGGAAAAGTCGTCAACAAATAATGAGGGCATGCAATTTAATTGTGATTTTTTTTTTATGGATAGGGGTGAACAAATCAGTCATTTGCTTTAGATTTAGTCATCAATCTTGTTTCTTAATCATTACAATTTAAGATGAAGAAACAAGTTTCATGACTAAATAGCACCTCAATCGCTGTAGGAGTGACTTTTTCAAAATGTACAAAGTAGGACCTCTTCATGTTTTGAAGATCTGTGGATATTCGGGGTCATTGCAGAAATGCGCTAACCGTGAGCTGGTCTTATCTGAAAGTTCCAAACTCACTGTTGAAGGGGGGAAATAGTGATAATGATTTTATGTTTTGTCAAATATCGCTGTAGTAAGAGAGAACAGCCAGACGCACTCTCCTTTTTTTTGTTTTTGATACATTTTACCATCGGAGACAGTGGCCAAATAAGCCCCCCCCCCCCCCCCCCCCACATATTCAATATATCAATACTGTATATCTCTCGACGAAGAGGGCATACTTCACGAACTTCAATTGTCAAACTTTGCAAGTTGGATGGCGCGTTGATTTATAGACAGAATAGCGGAAAGACATTTTTAAATGAAGCAGAAACGGCAGAAACATCCGAGTTTAACAAATTTAAAATTAAAAAAATGTAAAATTATACTATATAAAGAGCCGATATGGGTTTTAGGTGAGATCACTGAAGACGCCATTTATGCTTACGACCAAGGAAAAAATCACATCAAATACAGAAACCGCATTAATGGCATTATTTTTTTATTACATTATTTGAGTATTATGGAAGAAAGTAAATGTTCCCTTGTATTAGATTGAATCTATGGTTATAATACATTATTGGTCGCAAATACATCAATCATAATACACTGACTGATTTGTAAAAAGAAATCGATGAAACAAACAAATGTAACTTAACCCTAATGAGGCCGGGGTATTTGAGATCTTTCTAGTACGGGGGGGGGGGGGGGTGGGGGGTGGGGGGGAGGCCATTATGCCCCCCTAATATCTCGGCCGTGAAACGGCTGATCGCCGCGAAAATGTGCACGCATGTCAAGTGAAGTGTATAGAATTCTATGGTAAATTTAATTTTTTGAAAAAGTCACTCATTTGCATATTTATGGTAATTTATGCAAATAAGGTCATAACATTCACCTTTTTACCCATAAATCATATATTCTTTATATTTAAGCATTCTTTTTCACTACATGTATCCGTTAGACTATTTGAAACAATAATACGACAACAAAAATTGGAAGAGCTAGGTTATTCCTTATGCTATCTCTGGTTTTGATAATTTCTTATGTATTTCACTGTTTTTTAACTTATATATTTTATTGTTTGTGTTGTTTTTGTTGTTTTATTGTATTTCTAACTACAATTCAACTATTTTGACTCCCAAAACAAACCTTTAAACTTTAAACAAGACCCAATAACCAATGTTTTATCCCTTTTTAGGAAAAATGACATTTCCATATGTTTTGTACACAAATCACGGGCTGACATGCAAAGACAAAAGGTCATGTGACTTTGTAACTGTACGTCTGATTTTCAAAAAAAATGTTTTAAAAGACTCGAAAGAAAAAAAGCAGTGAGCGGCGGGGCGCCATCCGTATGCGTTCCCGAACAAAAGGGACTTTTAGATTTGCACGAAGACAAAGGGATAGCTACGATCTACGTCCTTTTAATGCACTGCCTTGAATGGACGTCACAGATATCATCCCACGCAAATCTAAAAGTCCCTATTAAAAAATCGCGGAGGGGCGGGGGGGGGGCCATAATGTACATTATATTTCAATTTAACCCTAATTTAACCCTAATGAGGCGGGGGGGGGGCATTATGGCCCCCGCCTTATTAGGGTTAAATGGAAAAATAATGTACATGATATAGCAATTTACTCTCTTAATACAGAAATCCACTGTTTTGATAGTGTGGTGTGGAATCCGGTCCAAAGTAGCAAGCCTTTATAGGTATATAGTTTATCG